ACACAATTTATCACAAATACATTCTTATTGGACTTCCATCAACACCTCTGATAATCCTCCGTCTTATTCACTTCTTACGCATTTCCTAACTTAATATTGCCTTTACGTTTTTAACATATCCCATCTCCTTCCTCATTTTTGCAATATTTCTAATATTATTCCTCACAGAGCTTCTTGCAAACCTACAAACGTCGTCTGGTCATTGCAAATACTTTTCAAATAATCCGTAAATTTACTCCAGTCCTCGGTAAACTTCTGGTCCCGCCGGTTTCAGATCCTTCCCGTTAGTTTATCAAGTTCTGCATAGTCCATTAATTTCATCCTCCATTCTTCCATGGTTGGTAATTCTTCTTGCTTCCATTTTTGGGCCAATAGTATTCTTGAACACTTCCAATTTTTAAAGGGAAATTCCCTTATTCTGAATAGGATTCCTCGCAAGAAAAGGGAAAAGTTGACAGCTATGCTTCCAAGTGAGTTGCATGGATGCTAGTCCTGTCTTTGACTCCCAGACCACCATTGCTGCAGCATCCCAAGGTTGTGGTCCAAACCCCCAAGTCTAGATTTTGCAAATGCAAACTGCAAAACTCAGCCTCTTCCAAGTGATTGGGGGATGTCACGTTCCTAATTTTTGATGAGTATTGTGTTTCAAAGCTGGAGAGATGCCGGTAGTTCCCACTGATGAAACAAGGATAGATCATTTTGGGCTGTGAACCAGTTGCTAGCATAACAAAGCATGGCCACTGCAGCAATATTGTCATGGGCCATGCTAGTTTGTTGTATTAAATGAAGAGATAAGCTCTCCTTTTGTAGGTTTTTGGGGCAAAGCACACATTTTCTTTACAGCCATAATTGGACTAAGTTTCCCTACCCTGCAACTATTAGGAGGAAATATGTATGGGAAAGCCTGCTTGCTCATTTCATGCTCATGAGATTGTGAGCTGTTCTGCCAGAGGAGCTTTCCATGTTATTCCGTGTCCAGGGCTTAGGAAGAATATTAAGTGCTTAATGAACAATGGGCATAAAACTTTGTTTAACTACAAAGAACAATCAGCCCAGCCTTTCAGGCTTCCCTTGTGCAGAGAGCTTTCTTTAAGAGACATTTGCATTTGGTTCAGAGGGATGCTTGCTTTGAGTGGCTGTATCTCTCAGAGAGCGTGCCAGAAATTTAATAAACTAGCAATAAAGCCTCTCTTCTCAAGCAAGTGGAAGTTCTGCTGCAATGCCATCAATATTGTGATCTGACATATCTGAGAAAAGCATGGGGATGGGGAAAATATGATTTCAGTGGGTGCCCAGGGAAAACATCGTTCAGTGCTGTAGAATTGTGATTTATTAGCAGTCCAGGGAATCAAGGTAACGTATTCTCCCAAATGACTGGCCTTCCTCAGTTTTGAAACCGAAGCTAGAAATAGCAGCAATTTAGCTTATTAGCCTCTTTGTGCATGGCACCTCTTCCCATCAGTGGACTAGTTGTAACTAGCCATTTCAATGCATGGGGCGATCTGTTGATCCTGCAATCTCTTTTTCAAGAACCATAATAACAGAATTGGAAGGGTCTCTGAGGGTCATATAGGCAACCCCCTGCAATGCAGGAATCTCAGCTAAAGCATCCCTGAGAGACGGCCATCCAACATCTGCTTAAAAAACATTCAAGGAAGTAGAGTTCACAACCTCACATGGGAGTCAGTTCCACTGTCGAAAAGTTCTTCTTGATGTTTAGTTGGAATCTCTTTTCTTGTAACTTGAATCCATTAGTTCAGGTTTTAGCCTCTGGAGCAGGAGTAAACAAGGTTGTTCTAACCTCCATGAGACAGCCCTTGAGAAATTTGAAGATGGCTATCATATCTCCTCTCGGTCTCCTCTTCCCCAGGCTAAACGTACTCAGCTCCTTCAATTGTTCCTCCTAAGGTTTGGTTTCCAGATCCTTGATCTTCTTGGTCACCCTTCTCTGCACACATTCCAGCTTGTCAACATCCTTCTTAAATGGTGGCACCCAGAACTGGACGCAGGATTCCAGGTGTGGTCTGACCAAGGCAGAATAGAGTGGCACTACACTATACTTCTGTTGATGCAGCCTAGAATAGCATTAGTTTTTGTTTTGCTTTGCTTTGCTTCTGCATCTCACTGTTGCCTCATGTTAAGCATGTGTCAACCTTTGTTACCTTTGACTCATTGCCCTCTCTCTACCCAACCCACCATGCGGATGTGAGGGTAAAAGGGAAGTCAAACAATGTTTGGAGGATAAGGTGACTGGTCATGATGCCTTTACAGTCAAAAGCAGTATACTTCTGAACACCAATTGCTGGAAACCACAGAAGGGGAACACAGGTGGCACTGTGGGTTAAACCACAGAGCCTAGGGCTTGCCAATCAGAAGGTAGGCAGTTCGAATCCCCGCGGCGGGGTGAGCTCTCATTGTTTGGTCCCAGCTCCTGCCAACCTAGCAGTTCGAAAGCACATCAAAGTGCAAGTAGATAAATAGGTACCGCTCTGGCGGGAAGGTAAATGGCATTTCTGTACGCTGCTCTGGTTTGCCAGAAGCAGCTTAGTCATGCTGGCCACATGACCCGGAAGCTGTACGCCGGCTACCTTGGCCAGTAAAGTGAGATGAGCACTGCAACTCCAGAGTCATCTGTGACTGGACCTAATGGTCAGGGGTCCCTTTACCTTTACAGGAGGGGATATTGCTCTTGTGCTCAGGTCCTGGCATCTGGTTGGCCACTGTGAGAATAGGATGCTTGACTAGAGAGGCCATTGGGACAATGGAAAATAGATTTTCCATGCCCTAAACATGACCAAGCGATTGATATTGAGGAATTGGAAAAATAAAGATAGGATGCCCTTCAATCAATGGACTGACAAAATGACATCACTGGCAATTGATGAATGAACTGCTTACGGGAGCAGACTCTGTATGGATAAATGCTATAACATTTGGAATGAGCTTATACAAACTATAGTAGGCTTTTAACATTTACATAAGCACTAGAACAAGAAGACTATACCAATTTATACAAGAATGTATGGGAATATCGTATATTGCTCTGTCTTATTTTGCATATTTTTGCTTTTATAGGTATCTTTGTTGTTGTTTTTCTCCCTCTCACTTTTCCTTCTTTTTTTCTGAATCACTTTATTTATTTTAACTGAAATCACCTTAATAAAATATAAATATTGGATAGGCCATGGGCCTGATCCCGCAAACTCTTCTGACCATGGACTCCTTGGGGGGGGGGGAATAAATTTCGCACACACAACTATGGAGTTCTTACCTGGAGAATAAAGACAATGACAGCCATTGGCCAGTGAGATGTGAATCCCAGCACCAGCCCACGGGCCTGAATTCCATGCTTGGTACTGAATTTCCCCCAGGAATACTAAGTGCCAATTGCAGGAGCCTAATTGGTTCCATCCTCCAAAGTTTGCATTTGAAAGCAAAGCAATCTTCCCTCCGTCTCTCTTCAACACACACACTGTGCCCTCCTGCAGGAAATTCCCAGGGGCATTAGAAGAACTATTTGCAATGCACAAAGTGTACAGGAGCCAGCTTGCTGGCAGGTGTTCAGCTGAGCGGTGCACTTCCACTTTTAAAGTTGGAAAAGAAAGGGAACAAACAAGAAAGAAGCCCTTTGCGCATCTTGAGATATAATGTGCAAATTCTAGTGGTGCCTTTCTAAACATTCTTCTTCTTTCTTCTTCTTTGGAGATCCCTTGTAGCCGAGTAAGATTGTCTTCCATGAACATGGTCTTAACAGTGAGTCTGCAAGTGACTGTGGAGGCCAATTCTGGGTCCACACATCCTTCCACAGTGGGGACATTGGTTTCCGGGTGAGAGTTGATCATGGTGAGGGTTTGCCAAGCATGCCTTCCTTTTAGCACGTTTCTCCCTTTTGTCCTGAGTTCGAGTGTCTTCAAAACCCCTGACACCTTTACCAAAGGCTGCTCCCAATTGGAGCACTCACAGGCAAGTGTTTCCCAGTTGTTGTTTCCATTTTTTATTTTTTTTTAGATTTGCCTGGTGTTTATAGATTGTTGGTGTTTATACTACATTTTTTAAGATTTGTCTTGAGACAGTCTTTAAACCTCTTTTGTTGACCACCAGCATTACGCTTTCCATTTTTAAGTTCAGAATAGAGTACAGTCATACCTCGGGTTGAAGTAGCTTCAGGATGAGTATTTTTGGCTTGCACTCTGCAGCGACCCGGAAGTAACAGAGCGCGTTACTTCCGAGTTTTGCCACTCGCGCATGTGCAGATGCTTAAAATGACATCACGCGCATGTGCGGACGTGGCTTGTGTTCACTTCAGGATGCGAACGGGGCTCCGGAACGGATCCTGTTCACATCCAGAGGTACCACTGTAGTTGCTTTGGAAGACGATAACCAGGCATCTGCCCAACATGAGCAGTCCAATGAATCTGATGTTGAAGAATCATTTCTTCAACACTGGTGATCTTTGCTTCTTCCAGTACACTGACATTAATTCACCTGTCTTCCCAAGTGATGTGTAATTTTCTTTGGAGTAACCGTTGATGGAATCTTTTGAGGAGTCGGTGATGGCATTTATAAGTGGTCCATGTTTCACAAGCATCTCAATGTTCACAACCCCCCAGCCTACACACCTACCTTCCTTCAGTATCTCCCAGTGTTTCTTTTTCAAGGACCTTCCCAAATGTTAAAAATCAAGGGAGATCAGGATTTGGATTAGCCCTAAGAAATGTTGCACCCTCTTCCAAGGCACAGCACAAACACATAGGAAACCCACTCTAAAGACGCAAAGAAGAAATTGCAGTTTGCAGCTGTTTCTGAAGAAGTAGCCATGCACTCTTCAATTCCATCACTCAGGAATCGAATTGAACTGAAACACAGGATTTTCAGCACATTGAATATTTGTTAATATTGCCAATTACCAATGACAGGATGCCTGTACCAGCAATACCTGTTTGGTGAATTACCACTGTTAAGTAATTTTCACTGCCTGTAATTTTCTGCATTTTATTTCCCTCTGATTTTGTTTTTTTCCTTCCCCAAACCATGCCTTTACATCTGATATAGTGAATTGTAGATTACAGAAGCTCATGCCATAATAAATTGGTTTGTCTTTAAAGTGCCCCAAGATGCTTTGTTGTTTTCAGCATACAGCCAGACGCTGGCGTGTTTTTTCTTGAGTCATTTCCATTTTTCCTCCCCAGCCTTCCTTTCCTCTTTTTTTCCCTGAGACATGCTGACGGTAGCATTTCTTGACATTTCAATGTCATATTGATGGCTGGAAGATTAAAGACTAGTTTGTATTGCTGGCAAATACAGACCTATGAAAACATCAGAGATATAATATTACAGGATGCAAACATTTAAGTGGGTTTTACAGTAGTGTACCTTCTCCTCTGACACGGCGATCCGCTGACAAGAGCACTTCTCAATTTTCAACAACATTTGAATGGCTGGGGGATAAATATCGGTTTGCATCACTGGCAAATATGGGCGTATTTTGAATATATCATTGGGGAGGGGGAAATGTAGTCTCAGGGTATGCACATAAAATGGTGCAGAACTTGAAGTATGCCACAAACAGTCTTCAACCTTGTGCGTTCCAGATGCTTCAGTCTACAATTCTGTGCTGGCTGCGGGTGATGGAAGCTGTTGGCTTGACCCTGGGGTCAGACATACCTTCTTCAGAGGGTAATGTTGAGGAATTTGAGTCAGAGGGGCAATTGCACCTGGGGCTAGCAAAGTTTTCCAGCAGGGGGCTGGTCCACTGTCCCTCAGACCTTGTGGGGGGCTGGACTATATTTTGAAAAATAAATAAATATGAACGCATTCCTATGCCCCACAAATAACCCAGAGATGCATTTTAAATAAAAGCAGTGTAAAAACACACTGATTCCCGGACTGTCCGCAGGCAGGATTTAGAAGGCTATTGGGCCAGACCCATGGGCTAGACCCAGAGGTTATCTCTGGTGAGTGCCCCCTGACTCACAGAGGATGTTGAATTGCTCAGAGGACTCCATCACAGTATCCAACCACACACAACCAAAGCCTACTCAGGTCTGTCAAAGGTTGCTTGAAGTGGCACCTTTCAGCAAAGGCAGAGTTTTCTTTTTTTTAATATATAAATGATTTTTATTGGTTTTACATATAATCACATTACGTAACATTGTACCCTTTTATTTTATCTCTTCAGCTCGACTGAGCCTAACGACTTCCCTCCCTCCCGTCTGATGGTTTACAAAATTAAACTTTACATCTTTACATTTCGCTTCGTTTCCTATCCTTGTTATATCATTACCTAAAATATTACATTACTCAACGTGAAGAGGTAGCAATTTCACCTTACAAATCTTCAGATAACCCTGCTGATGATGTTAATTGCTTACAGTTGTCTTTCAGATATAATATAAATTTGTTCCAGTCCTTTTGGAATGCTTGTTCTCGCTGGTTCTGCATTCTTCCCGTCAGTTTCGCCAGTTCTGCAAAGTCCAACAGCTTCACCTGACACTCTTCTTTTATTGGTAACTCCTGTTGTTTTCATCTTTGGGCTAACAAAATTCTTGCCGCAGTTGTTGCATATAAGAATTTTTTTTTTTAATCTTGTCTCCGTATTTCTCTACTCACTATACCCATTAAAAAAGCTTCTGTTTTTTTTTAACAAAAGTGGTTTTAAACATTTTCTTTAACTTATTATATATCATTTCCCAGAAAGCTTTCCCTCTTTACATGTCTACCACATATGGTCAAAAGTATCTTCCTTTTCCTTACATTTCCAACATTCATTTTTTGTTCTGTACATTTTGGCTAGCTTAACTGGTGTTAAAAGGTAAAGGTAAAGGGACCCCTGACCATTAGGTCCAGTCGTGACCGACTCTGGGGTTGCGGCGCTCATCTCGCTTTATTGGCCGAGGGAGCCGGCATACAGCTTCCGGGTCATGTGGCCAGCATGACTAAGCCGCTTCTGGCGAACCAGAGCAGCGCACGGAAATGCTGTTTACCTTCCTGCTGGAGCGGCACCTATTTATCTACTTGCATTTTGACGTGCTTTTGAACTGCTAGGTTGGCAGGAGCAGGGACCAAGCAACCTTCTGATTAGCAAGTTCTAGGCTCTGTGGTTTAACCCACAGCGCCACCCGTGTCCCTTAACTGGTGTTAAATACCACCTATACATTATTTTCATAAATTTTTCTTTAAGCGTACTGCATGTTGTAAAGTTAATACCTTCATTCCATAACCTTTCCCATTCTTCTAATTGTATATTATGTCCAATATATTTAGCCCAACATATCATTACTAATTTCACCTCCATTCCAATAATAGCGAAGGCAGAGTTTTCTTTTTTTTTAATATAATTTTTATTAACAGGCCAATCAAATCACATTAATTGAGGAGATTTCACCCCTCCCATATCCAAGAATCTCCTGAGGAGTCTGCTGGTTCTCCAGAGAGGAGGAGGCGTGTTCTGCTCTCTACTTATTCTGCTCCAGCACCAGAGTCAGTCAGTCAGTCAGTGTCGGAGAGAGAGAGAGAGAGACTGAGTGTTAGAGATCGTGTGTAGAGATAAGGTTGCTGCTAAGAGCAGCTGCAGACACTCAGTGCAGTGCAGCATTCATTTATGCTTAGACCTATTTAGCTCTGTATATAGTTGTATAATAGTTGTAGTTATAGAATAAAGAAGATATTCTACAAAGCTGCTCTCCGAGTTGTTTATACTCTGCTAGACTCTGCTGAACTCTGCTGTGCGACGACTGTCTTCTTGTTGGAGTGAATCCGGTGCTCACAACTCTAAGCTGTGAGTCCACAGCACTTTGACCTGTTCCTGTGCAGAAGGTGGTCTCTGGAAGTGCTACCCAGCTCACCTAGCCCAGTCGGGGCTGAAGTGGATGAGTCCAGTTGGTGGCACTGGCTCAAGGGCGATGCTGACATTAATTCCAAATCACATTAAATCCAAATTATACAGCCGGATTTTTAAAATTTTTGTTGGGGGTACCCATACTTCAAGTTCCGAAAGGGTTCAAAGCATCACTCTTGCTGCTGCCTTGATCAAACAGTTCTATCCAGTTCTGTCCAGATAGTCTTTTTGTTATTTTCTTCATCTTCTTGTTGTTATCATATATTCCTTTCTTTGTGGTCTCTGATAATCTTCACAAGCGGGTGAAAGACAAACATCTCCTGTGTGGGTTTTACACTCTCCAAAAATCATATCACATAAAGGACAGACACCATTTCCACACCTCCATTAAAAACATTCCCACTGTCTGTCCATTGATTCACAAGCTTGCGAATCTATATCTCAGAGGACTCTGCCAGGTCAAGATAGCGTTCCGATAACCATGCATTCACATTCCAATGACCCTGGTCCTCCTCCCTCTCGTCCACCTTAAGCAAGCCTGTCTTCACAAAACTCCATTTTTTAACTGCGTCATAATACTTTCCTTTCATTCCCCGGTATTTCCACCAGTCCTCTCTTCAATCAATAATTCACTCCCACACAGTTCTTAGTCTCCTGCTTGTGATTAATAATAGCAATGATTCTTCTCTCTATCTGGAGGGGAGGATTATTGGTACTCACATAAGGCAAAAAAAGAAAAGTTTTTTCCTCCTCTCCCTTTCCGTTTCACTCAACATACCAGTGTCTTGATGTTGATTCTTGACTTGATTTATTTTCACGCCCGTCGCTCCACTCACAGAGACCCCATTAATCAGCAGTCTTTACTCCTGATCTTCACTTGATGTATGTGCATTAGCTTCTTTCCAATTATATATTTCCAATTAAATATTTCAAGCTAATGCGAACCAATGCGCTAATTGGAGACAGCGTCAGGAAGAGCCGACTTCACCGAGGGCTTCGTGCCAAGTGTCCACACCCCCTTCTTTCGAATCCGGGGGTGCATTATGGACACCGCTGGCAAGGCAGTCCCCCCATCCCCTTGGGGGGGGGCAAGGAAGGCTGCATACTTCCCATAGCAGCCTCTTAATTACCTCGTGTGGGTCGGAGAGATGTTATTGTCAGCCATCTTCCAATGCGCCCCCTGGTGCCCCCCCCCCGTGAAGGCAGAGTTTTCAGCTGGCGCCAAGCTTCTGCTCCTGGAGAGGGCTCAGTCTAAAGATGGCTGTTGCTGATGCAACATCAGATTTCTGCTCTGTGCCCCCCCAGAAGATAGCCCTGCCACACCTCGGCACAGAATCATTGCCGTCCAAAACATCTGGAAAGCTCCAAGTTGGAGAAGTCTGCATTATATAAAGTGAGGTGGTAAAGTATTTGGGGCTTTAAAGCCCTATACGGACCCTCGTACCTACGGGACCACCTCTCCTGGTATGTCCCACGGAGGACCTTACGGTCTTCAAACAAAAACATCTTGGAGGTCCCAGGTCACAGGGAGGTTAGGCTGGCCTCAACCAGAGCCAGGGCTTTTTCAGCTGTGGCCCCTATCTGGTGGCACTCTCTGTCACAAGAGACTAGGGCCCTGTGGGACTTGACATCTTTCCACAGGGCCTGCAAGACAGAGCTGTTCCACTAGGCCTTCAGCCAAGGCACAGCCTGACCCCCTCCTTTGGTAATCCTCATAGAACTCTAGCCCAATGGTTGCCATTAATCTGATTCTGAATTGATTTTAGAATGTATTTCAATTAATAGATTGTGATTTTATGTACACTGTGTTACGTTTACTGTTGTTAGCCGCTCTGAGCCCAGCTTTGGCTGGGGAGGGCGGGATATAAATAAATTATTATTATTATTGGTTTGGGAAAATAAATGACTAAGGGAGAGTACGTTAGCCGCTTTGCAGGATTCTGAATCATGTGGAGAAAACGACACACACAGGTCACAGTCACGCGAGACATTTAATGCACTGTCATGCCACCTTAAAGAGTCACGGCTTTCCCCAAGGGATTCTGGGAGCTGCAGGTTGTAGGCCAGAAAACAGGGAATTCTGGGAGTTGTAGTTTGTTAAGGCTGCTGAGAGTTGTGAGGAGGCCCCCATCCCCCCCCCACATAACTACAATTCCCAGAGTTCCCCAGAAAGGGGCCAGGGAGGCAGCAGCTAATGCCTGTTGGCCATTGAGGCACTGCCCTCCAAGTGGGACCTCCAACTGGCTCATTCAAAGTTTCACTCTTTGGCAGGAAGGCTGCTCCTTAATACCGCCATTGGAGGGGACTTCCCACAAAATGGCCGACAGGTGAGTGTGCTCTGACCACTGGGGATGAAGGTGGAGGAGTACGAGGGGCTGCAATGGTCGCCCTCTGTGGAAATGGTGAGCGGCCACTCTGGGAACATCTTCCCGGCCATTGTTGTAAAACAGATGGCGATCTAGCATGGGTGGTAGAATCTGTCAGCAAGCGTCTCCATTCTTAGGAACAAAACCCTCTCCTTCTCTCCCTCTCTCTTGGCATTTCAAGGAATAATCAATAAATATAATAACATTTTCAGTTCAGCATTGATAAAACGTAACCACCTGCCCAGTTGTAGCTGCTGATCTCTTTAGAAATGAGGGTAAAAGGAGAGGATTAAGGAGTATCTAGAGAACATCAAAAAGCTTCAAGTAATTGTCTTTTTTCAGGAAAAGAGAGTCAATACTAGGATGACAGTATACTGGAATCTGGCCTGTAAAGATTCCCCCCCTCCACCTTTCCATAATGTGGTAATGCTTAGTCAATAGTGACAAGATGACTCACGTTTGTAGGCCAGAAAACAAACAAAGGGAAATCAATCTTCTATTAGCCTATTTCCTTCATTGGACACATTGCATGCATTGCCAGCCTGATTCTTCAGCAATTTAGAAATTAAAGCAACTGTGGGATACAAGAACAGCAAATTAAATCTCTGCCTCAGGACAAGCACCTTAACCTTGGGGCATTGCTGGACTTTGGCTACTTTGGGGTGGGATTCTTTACAGAGTGGCCAATTCAGGTTGCAGCGCACAGTTAAACTGTGGAACTCATCCTTGCAGGAGGTAGCGATGGCCACCAACTATCAAGCTGTGAGTGGGCATAGTTGACGACACAGAGATTTCTCCAAGTGGTTCTTTATAGTAAGCTGGAACTGAACTGAACAGCTCAGCCGGCCTGATTTTATAGGCAGCCGGCTGTCAACACTGTAACAACAACAGCCGAGGGTTTCCCGCCTAAATTAACTGACGTGGACCTGAGTGAAAACTATATACAGTGGTACCTCAGGTTACATACGCTTCAGGTTACATACGCTTCAGGTTACAGACTCCGCTAACCCAGAAATAGTGCTTCAGGTTAAGAACTTTGCTTCAGGATGAGAACAGAAATCGTGCTCCGGCGGCGCGGCGGCAGCAGGAGGCCCCATTAGCTAAAGTGGTGCTTCAGGTTAAGAACAGTTTCAGGTTAAGTACGGACCTCTGGAACGAATTAAGTGCTTAACCTGAGGTACCACTGTACACAATACCCCTGGTGGCCAGGGTGAGAACTTCAATACATAACACCCCTCCCCACCAAGATAAGGCATTAGTTACAATCTAATGCCTTCCATTACATACAGCAATACCCTTATTGGTTTCTGTAAGGCACATAAGCATATCGATTCCAATATTACAAGTTCGCAGGTATAACTGTTTCACTATCAGCTGTATCACCCGTAAGACTCACGATCAAATACTAATTTACCCTATTCACCATACAGCTTTACATGTGCAGTTTGTCCGGTGAAAATAGTCTTTTAAATAAGCTGGGCGCTTGGAAACCCTTGCCAGACCGCCGAGGGCCAGTACCAGAGTCTGGGTGGCCGCCCGATTCTGGCTGCGACTGTGGTGTGACCAATTGTGGCGTTGAGCCCGAGTTCCCTGGCTCCTGTCGAAGGAACCGCCACAAGCGGACTCAGTGGATGGTCAGGCACGGCAGTGGTCCGAGTCCCTGGAGAGCCAGGCAGACCCACTGAAACGGATCAGCTCCATGCCTGCAGTTTGTGAGGAAGATGTAGATGGAGCCTCGCCTTCCATTAGCGACCGCTCCTGAGCTGGGGCCACAGTTGGGGGCACAGCGGTAGTGTCCAAATCCCCAACCCTGTGCCTTAGCTGGTCTATGTAGCAGCGCCGCAAGCGTCCATTCTCGAGGGCCACCTGGTACAAATGGGGCCCCGTGACTCCCACTACCATGGCCGGCACCCAAGGAATGTCCCCCACAAGAGGGCGAGATGAATTCATGGAGGAGGGGGCTGTTGGGGGCTCCAACCCACGATGGCTATGCTCTTTGTCCATAGCTGGAGGCAGTAATACTTCTGAATAACAGTTGTGGGAAACCACAGGACATGAGAGTGCTCTTGTGCCCAGATCCTGCTCATGGCTTCCCAACATGCATCTGGTTGGCCATCGTGAAAAGGGAATGATGAATTAGATGTTCTTCCTTAGTGATCACTCGTAGCCGGATAAGATTGCCTTCCATGAATATGATCTTAACAGTGTGTTAGCAAGTGACTGTGGAGGATAATCATAGAATCATAGAATCATAGAATCATAGAGTTGGAAGAGACCACAAGGGCCATCGAGTCCAACCCCCTGCCAAGCAGGAAACACCATCAGAGCACTCCTGACATATGGTTGTCAAGCCTCTGCTTAAAGACCTCCAAAGAAGGAGACTCCACCACACTCCTTGGCAGCAAATTCCACTGTCGAACAGCTCTTACTGTCAGGAAGTTCTTCCTAATGTTTAGGTGGAATCTTCTTTCTTGTAGTTTGGATCCATTGCTCCGTGTCCGCTTCTCTGGAGCAGCAGAAAACAACCTTTCTCCCTCCTCTATGTGACATCCTTTTATATATTTGAACATGGCTATCATATCACCCCTTAACCTCCTCTTCTCCAGGCTAAACATGCCCAGCTCTCTTAGCCGTTCCTCATAAGGCATCGTTTCCAGGCCTTCTCGATCTGGACATCCTTTAGTCAGATCCATCAAGGTAGTTCTTCTGTTCTTCTGTTCTATCAGCCTGGAGAAGTCCAGCATGCTCGGATCTATCCTTATGGGGTTGTTGTTGTTGTTTTAATGAAGAACTTTGTTCCTTCCACCAGGAGGTGTTTCCATGCAGGGTGTCTATACGGGAGCCTGGAATGGATCAGAAGGTAATTTTCCTCCAGGATCACATCCAATTACAGATAGTCATCAGCTCAAATCTTTTTGTGAATTTATGCACCAGTGAGGTTTCTCTCTTGGTGACTTCGTTGCTCAGTAGCTACTACCAGAGTGAATTATGCCTAATCGCTTGATGTCATCCTTTCTGATGTTACACTTCAGGAGCTCCAATTAGTACAAAATTTGAACTCTGGGAAGCTCTGGTAAGAGTCAGATCAGTATCTCACCCCCCCCCACACACTTGTTAGAAGCGTGGGAATAGATTTGGTAAAAGGAAGGAGACGAAAGCTCTTCAGTGTCCAAGTGTTGTTGCTGTTCAGTCGTTTAGTTGTGTCCGACTCTTCGTGACCCCCTGGACCAGAGCACGCCAGGCACTCCTGTCTTCCACTGCCTCCCGCAGTTTGGTCAAACTCATGCTGGTAGCTTCGAGAACACTGTCCAACCATCTCGTCCTCTGTCGTCCCCTTCTCCTTGTGCCCTCCATCTTTCCCAACATCAGGGTCTTTTCCAGGGAGTCTTCTCTTCTCATGAGGTGGCCAAAGTACTGGAGCCTCAGCTTCACGATCTGTCCTTCCAGTGAGCACTCAGGGCTGATTTCCTTTAGAATGGATAGGTTTGATCTTACAGCAGTCAATGGGACTCTCAAGAGTCTCCTCCAGCACCAGAATTCAAAAGCATCAATTCTTCGGCGATCAGCCTTCTTTATGGTCCAGCTCTCACTTCCCTACATCACTACTGGGAAAACCATAGCTTTAACTATATGGAGCTTTGTTGGCAAGGTGATGTGTGGATCAGTTTTATAACAGTTGGACTTCCCCTAAAGAATTCTGGGAGCTGTAGTTTGGTGAGTGTGTTGAGAAGTAACTTAGAAGCCCCTCACCCTGTCACAGAATGGGACATTTGGAGCTCTTTAGCAGTCATGCCTCTTCTCAAAGAATCCTACGAACTGTAGTCTACCCCTCACAGTGCTATAATTCCCAGCACAGGTCCCAGGATTCTTTGGGGGAAGCCAGGCACTTTCAAATGTGTAGACATGACCTAAATTTATCAGGGTTTCCTGGATGGAAGAAATAACATTTAAACTAGTTGGGGTGTGTGACATCCTAAGTCTTACCTGGATTGAACCTGGAACCATTTGCAAGCAAAGAACTGATTCGTTGGTTGCTTGCATTTGTAGCCCGCCTTTCATCCAAGGAGTTGATGATGCTCTCGCTCCCATTTTACCCTAACAATAACCTTGTGAGGTAGATTAGGTGATGTAATAGAGGCTAGCCCAAAGTTTCCAACTGAGGTTCATGACTGAGTGGGGACTTGAATCTGGATCTCTGCAGCCCCAAAACCAAAAAATATAATCCAGAAACAATGGAAATGTTTAAATGATTATTTATGTAGACAAGGATTAAGTGTAAGGTATTGGTTGCGTTTAGAATAGATTTATGAAAGATTTAGAAAGCTTATTGATTAGAATATTTGTATGAGATTGTATGGGAAAAATACGGAATAACAGATACAAATTTGCTTTAAATGTATATAAAAAGTGCAGTGTAAGCGATGGAAGTCAATCAATGAAATTTTATTATTGAGATATTCTTCCAATTTTTCTTCTTATTTTTTCATTTTCTTTTTCTTTTCTTCCTTTTTTCTTTTTTGTTGTTTTTTATATATGTGTGCTTATCTGAAAAATATATGTATGTATGTATTTGTATGTATTTTGCTTGTATTTTGTAATAATTATTTTAAATAAAATTTAACTTGTATAAAAAAAGAATCTGGATCTCTGCAGTCCTAGTTCAACACTTTAAGTACTACAGTACACCACACTGCTTCCCTATCAATGAGTTATGGCCCTCTCCTTAAATAATCCTCCGCTTTTATTTCCCTTAAAGAAATACATTGTTGAAGATATAGAATATATTATTTTAAGAGAGGGAAGGAGATGGAGACTTTATGGCTCTGTGCTACTTACTGCTACAGTTTTTAAGCATGATTCTGGAAAAATATGCATTAAAGATTATATTTTATTTAATGGTTTGACTGCATTACGCCAGGAAATATGCTAATGCTTCCTCCAGATATACAAACTGTATCAAAGTGTGGCTTTTATTGCAAAATTTTCATATTACACACAGGGGGAAATATACAGCCTTAGTGCTATTGCACAATAAACATACTTTGTTGATATGCAATCTCTGGGGCTTATGTTTGTGCAGTTGTAGGACATGGGCTACATTCATGCTTGTGGGGGGGTAGTTTTGTTCGAGCTGGAGATTATTTTATGCACAACACTCAATGGCATTCTCTAGATTTCGTTCATTGGAGCTTCCGCGTTGTACCTTAGCGATAGTGGCAATCTAGCTCTCATTGTGCGACTGATACAGAACTTCAATGCAATCCCATCAAATGTTGTGCACATAAATCTCCTGTTACCATAATGTCACACAATGTGGCAGAGCGGCTTGAAATACATGCTGAAATCTATATATATCCAAGGAATGCATTTGGAAAGGTTTATCTTCTTCTCTGCTGGCTTGGCAGCCATCCAAGATGGATGAAGGACACCCGTCTATCAGGACGGAAATGCTCTTCAATGAGACTCTGACGTGTGTTTGCATCCGATAGCTGACATTGTTAGAGGAAGATAAACAGTGAGAATAGAGGCTTAATAACTGGTATTAATTAGTGACAGCAACTGCAGCGTTCTTTATGCTAACTGGAAAATGGTACTAGTGAAAAAGGCTGGCTTTATAAATGGAGAGTTGATGGTTCTTAACCCCTCCTCCTTTTAATGAAAGGCTGTACATCTAAGAAGATGCAATTCTTTTCCATTCATGGGGGTTGATCTATGTATTCCTGTGAGGAGGAGGAGGGCTTTATGTCTTCTTGAGATAATATTGTCTTATTTGTCAGGCAATTTGGAGGAAGAGAAATGCCCTCTGTTAGCATATCAAAAGCCGGTCTAAAATCATTATCGTAATAATAGCATCAATTGTCCTCCCTGCCAGCAGAGGGCGCTCCCAGTTGTTGTTGTTTAGTCGTTTAGTCGTGTCCGACTCTTCGTGACCCCATGGACCAGAGCACGCCAGGCACTCCTGTCTTCCACTGCCTCCCGCAGTTTGGTCAGGCTCATGTTTGTAGCTTCGAGAACACTGTCCAACCATCTCGTCCTCTGTCATCCCATTCTCCTTGTGCCCTCCATCTTTCCCAACATCAGGGTCTGTTCCAGGGAGTCTTCTCTTCTCATGAGGTAGCCAAAGTACTGGAGCCTCAGCTTCAGGATCTGTCCTTCCAGTCAGCACTCAGGGCTGATTTCCTTAAGAATGGATACGTTTGATCTTCTTCCAGTCCATGGGACTCTCAAGAGTCTCCTCCAGCACCATAATTCAAAAGCATCAATTCTTCGGCGATCAGCCTTCTTGATGGTCCAGCTCTCACTTCCATACATCTGGCGCTCCCAGTATTACAGCGCAATTGAAATAGCTGACAAGCCAACAGAGGATGCTGGTCTGCAGTGAGAAAAGTCCCTTCATATCAGATTCCCTTCACACAGCTACACTTTCCAGAGTTCCTTGTGAAGAGGGATTGACTGTTAAACCACTCTGGGAATTGTAGCTCTGGGAGGGGAACAGGGGTCTGCTAACAACTCTCAGCAAGCTACAGCTCCCAGAATTCTTTGGGGGGAACCCATGACTGTTTAAAGTAGTATCACACTACTTACAATGTATGGTGTGGAAAGATACAGCTTGAGCAGACAATAGCGAAGTCCTAGTTGTGGCTGGAACTCAATCAGGCACACACATTGAATAAAAGATGTGCAATCTTCTAAACATCTTTCACATTTTCTTCTTCTTTTTCTGCCCACCGCTCATTATGTTTTCGGTTGGTGGAATCTCAGCCCACAATTTATGGAGAGTTCTTGATTCCATCCCCTTCCCCACAGTTGGATTTCCACATCAAATTTTGCAAGCAGAAGTCGCAAATTGGAAGAAAACTTTGCATCTGGATTTCTCTGCTGTACGTCAGTCGCAGTTAAGGAATGCAAATCTCATCTTCAAACATTCTTCTGTGTTCTAAATACCTCCCACTGCCCTGCTAAAACTACAGGCAATTATTATGATCCTCATCTTTAATACCCAGAGCTTTCTTCCCCAAACCCATGGCACACAGTTTGATTGTCTCATAAACAAGATTACAGATGAAACAGAAGCAAATATTCATCTATCACCTCCCGAGAGGAGATAGGGAAAAGCTGGCATTCAGATTCATTGTCAGTGGTTGATTGCTGAGATTTTATGAACTCATCTATCTCCTTCTCTCCATCTCTTACAGCACAATTGAAAATAATCTACAATGTAAAACTCATCCCTTGCAATCAGCTTGCTGATATGGCGTCACTAGGCAGAAGATCTTAAAGGTGTCATTCTCAGTTATATTTACTTATTCAAGCCTGCCTGAGGAATTTGATTCTTTGCAGATTCTGATACCTGGTATCCTCATCTAATGTGTGGATCGTAACCTAGTTATCCATTAGCTTTCACACTTCCCAAATGTTCCACTGTAGTTGCAGGCTTTAAAAATATGTTTTGAAATGTATTTTTAAATGTGCATGTAAATGCTTTGTGTTGAAGGGGTTATTGCTTTGCTGTTTCTGTTTCAACTACTTATTTGTGCTTTCATCTTGCATTTTTGTCTTGTGAACTGCCCTGAGATCTTTTGATGAGTGGTCGTATATCAAGAGAAATAGTCTGATTTGACTATGCCTAGTCACAGTGAGCCTTTCAAAATCAAGGGAAATGGAGATTAGCCAAAAGGATGTTGTATAATAGGGACATGACTGTGGCACTTCAGAAAGGATTGGGAGGACTGTAAGTGTGAAGTCAGCCCCACATCAAAAGCCTGTTCCCAGGAGGTGGAAAACTCGCATATCAGAAAGAAAAGTAGACAAGAAGTCTTCTCTCTCCCCTTGTCTTTCTCTCTCTCCATCCAGAACCACATCTAAAATGGACCGTCTGAGATTTCTAACATGTTCTGTATATAAACTGAAGCATTGCTGCTTCCAGCCACGGAGGCAGATTATAGCCATCGTAGCTAGTAGCCACCAATGCCTTTCTGCTCCGTGGATTGGTCTAAGTCCTTTCTTTTGTCTGCCCTGAATTCAGCTTCCTTGCATGTCCATGGGTTTTTGTGTGATGAGAGAGGAAGAGAAGCTTTTGCGTGACCAGGCGGCGACAGCCCCAGCCACCAGGGATCATAAGGGAGGAATAAAGACTCTGACAACGTTATATGGAATTAAAATTAGGCCACAACTTTATTAAACTTCTGAATGTAGGAAGACCTTGGCTTAGGCCTTGGGCGTGTATCCCTCCCAGCCTCCCAGCTGGGGAGAACTGGGGCTCATCAGGGTAAATGGGATGTGGGGGTGCTCTGCGAGACGTAAGTGTAGCAGACAGCCAAGCCCATATCCTCACATGCAGGTAGTTTACTGACAACCTTTCAGTGTATGGCCAGTGACACTCATATATATAATCCCTTTAAGAGGAGGACCCTGGAATCGCAGCCACAGGGGGATGAGTCACCACTTCACGCTCCCCCCCATAGGGAAGAAAAGTCTAAAGGATTCCACCCAAGGGCATAACCGCCCAAGTTGTGACGAATTGCTATGGGGAAGACAAAACCTGCCAATGCAGGAAAATTTCTTCCCAGTCCTTCAACAGCAACCAGTCAAAGACCATAGCAGTGCCTGCTAAACAGGAAGAAAAAGTTAACCTTCAAACAAGAAAACATTAAACAAAGGGAGGGTAGGGAGGGTGAATCTCCAGAGCCGACTGCCTGGCTATTGTCGGCTCCACCCCCTATTTATAAATGGGGTTGGCCCCACCTCCCAGCAAGAAACTTGATTACTGAGGCTGGGCGTGAACCTCCAAAAATTAACACTGAGAGGCTGGCCAGTCCCTGTTTGCCAGTAAGTTCATTGGGAATTGTAGCACCATGTGTGATCCCGCAAAGGGCACCCACAATGGAAAGTGTGAGTGCTCCTTATCTACCCAGCTTCTCCCTGACATTCATCATTTCACACACTTCTATTTGTTTCTCTGTTGGTCAAATATACTCAGAGTCGAGTGCGGATTTCATGCTCTTTATTCAGCTCATAGTAGTGAGGAATGAACCCCCAAAATATCTGCTTTATATACATTATTTACACAATGGGCCGC